AAGATTGTGTTGAAGTTTCTGTGGGTGTACGACTCGCGTCGAGAAATTCCGTCGAGTTCAACGGCAGAATTCAAGTTATGCACGGCATGTAATCCGTTCATGATTGATAACGATAATTTGTGTTGGCTTTACACGCTGACCTGGCGGTGGTACAGAGAACACGAGGTAATACCCTCGATATCAGGGGAAATGGCGATTCACTACAGCCGCGCGTGCCACACTCCGGTGTTGTGCTCAGTATACCAAGTACATGTACATGTACTGTACTTGTATCAAACAGAAAATCGAGCGTCAGACACTGGCCGCCATAAGCCTACCTGTAGTGTAAAGGCTCGCGTGCAAGGTCAACTTCGGGTCATGCATGTCGATAGGCTGGGCATCAAATCACCCCCCCCCCATAAGTAAGAAAATATTTGATAATTGGAGAAAAAGGCACAATCGTACTTTTTTCCTTACTAAAACAGGAATTGTGTCATTATCTTCCCCAATCAGAACAGTGGTGTGCGCATGCGTGCATTAATTATAATCTATTAGTTAAATAAATGACTGCACTTTAGAGACAGTGCAACGACCGACGGGCATCAGATCTCGTCTATTTACTCAACGCAAATCGTCCATTGCATCGCTGCTTCGTGTTGCTCCTGCTCTGATAGCATTACCTGTGCATTACATCCTTCAAACTTGATGCGATCATGACACCCGATGACACGATAATTTCAAATCAAATTGCTACATGTATCTGCAATCGTACGGCAGTCAGGATAGAAGCTGACTAAGTCTAGATTGGTGCAGGAATAAAGGATACCAGACTAGTCTTTTGGGGGAAGGCAAAAAACCGGTTTCGTTTAAAACATCTCTCTGCACCAAAGAGTCGCCAAGACATCGAATTTGACAAAATAAACGAGGCAGCTCATGAAAAAACAAGGACGAAGTGAATCTATACATCGTCCAAACTTCAAAAGCTGAGAAGTCCCACTGTTCAGACTGGAGTTATTTACAGAGACTGCAAACGCGGTGATCATAGTAGCTTATACATGTATAGACAGTCGATCATACATCCTATTCACATTGCGTACAACGTCCAACATAAGTTATAAAATCGTTGTTATATCTGCAATATCACGTCTGCTCAGCGATGATATCGCGCTCTCTGGAGTTTGAGCAGCAGCCAGTGATGAATTCAACGTACAAGCAAAAAGCAACATTCCTTTAACTTGGAGGATCAACTTTTGATGGCCGAACTGCAACTATACTCGGGAAAATTACTCGATTCCTGACGGGTAACTGACCCGACACGATTCAATGCAACCAAATTGACTCGACCCGATTTTCAAAAATCCAGTGAATATTACAATACTGAAAATGACCCAGTTTAATTTCATGGAATTGCTGGCAAACTATACATCGCGCCACCGAGAATCCCCACAGTAAGGATAGGAACGCATGGAAAAATTTCAAAGGCACTTGTCTGCACATCTCCATACCTGTCACAAGTGTTTACTTTCTAAATAGAAATTATTTATTCTACTTCGTGTTTAGCTTTGGAAATGGGCCATTCAAGTAAACTGACCACTGAGGTCGAGTTCTCCTATCCGTTTGAGATGCGCCTTTTCCACATTCATCGAAATGTTTTGTTTCCAAACACACAAGTAGAAACAGGCTCTTCAGCTCAAGGTTGTCTTCTTTGTTTGACTCTTTATGCGTTGGTCAATTCGGCTGGCTCTTCCACGGCCAAGACGCCGGCCAAGTACATGTAGATGTCCACTCTACTCGGCTAACGGTCAGCTAGTGCATGCGTAATAACACGCCAAAAAGTTATTCGTTGCGCCTACGAATTTAATTATTCCAATTTCTGTCCCAGTTCATACCGGCGTTATTCTTGGGACAAAAATGCTGGTATCATTTCGGCAGGTTAAATAAAGCACCCAGATTATGCAGCATATGGTGGGATAACAACACATTGCATGTCCTTAATATCAGATAGGCCTAATTATAATAATATGCCATATATTTGATGCGTTCCTGCACATCTTATCCACTACTTAAGTACAACAAATGAAACCTTTCAACCAAATATCGATTAAATTTATGAAAGGTATAATTGATATGTTCCGTTCAGAAGAATGAGATATGTTTGAAAAACTGAACTCCTTTTGACTTCCACTAGACAGAAAACATGGACAGCGTCAAATACCCAATATATTTTCACAAAGTGCAGCGACTCTGACCCTTAAATGGTCTCGACTACATACTGAGACACCATATTGATACCAGGATAACTCCCAAATCGTTTCGTGAAGCCTTCAGACAGGTGAAACAAAAAAGTTGTCCACTCCTCGACTGGGTGTGACTAGTTAATGGACGTATTGATCGGCAAGATGTCTTGTTGCTGGTTTGCCTGAATCAATGGTTGCGCGTCGCCGTGTACTGCAAACATGCGATAACACTGCCCGCGATCAAGGGTCGAAACACGGGCACTTTGTGGCTACCCGGAGCACGGTCGTCGATTGCAGTTGCATGGAAAGAAACCACGAGTATGGAATCGCAACTGGCAGAAGACAGAAACACAGAAACACAGCTCCGTACGACGACATATCAAAGACAACTTGAGATTCACAAATGAAATTTTGTCTTGGCAGGGTATCAAGTTGCAGACAACAGCACTTACAATGGAGGTTATAGAACAGAATAATTCCTGCGAAAATCAACCACAGAGTGACCCAAGTCTCGCAATTCCCATTCCAAATATGACATTGTGAGTGCATGTATACATGTACATTTGGGGGAAAAATGTCCCAAGATTTCGAAAAACTAAGTGTCTATACAGACGTTTCAAATGGGTTGTCTGCAGTATGGTTCGTGCATTCAATTGACAAATTTAAAACTAGTGCGCACGCCGCACAACATCTGACGATACAATAAGTCTCAAAGACTTCAGCAAGGTCTCAAGCTACACGACGAACGATGTTTCCTGTGTACTTTAGTTGTCTGCAAACCGGTTTCGATTTATGTTTGATGAATATAATTTGACGTTCTTAACAGGAAACGAATGAATGGGAGCAAAGTCTATAAATATCTGAAACTGCACTGGTTGCGTGCCCAGCTTTCAACTGCAGATTTTTTTAACGAGAGTAAAACCGTGCTTGCGCTGCAGGAGAAAAACATAAAGTGGGTCCTCAGCTCAACGAGTAGTCCAACACATTATAAACATGAGCATGTTTGCGTTTGTTGTGTTCAACAGTCCAGTTAAAGTTCGGCTCAGTAGGCTTAGATGTCCTTCAAGCAAGGATCCACCTTTACACCATGTTTCGATTTTTATGGTATCTCCTATTTTAAAGAATTTTTGCCGTGTTGTTGCAAGTTTTTTTTTTACCCCAATGGCTTTAAAGTCACCCGCTGTGACCCCGTGTGAGAGTCTTGTAGGCCCACCGGCAGCGGATACGAGGACAGCAACCAAATAGAATGCTAAGCTGTAGAATGCTGATTTCACTGGATTAACGGCTTCCTGTCTCGCCACAAGGGACTGCTTAATTACAACCTTAATGCTATCCAAATTGCCATCGCTTGATAAGATGTGGGGAGCCGTATAATTTAAGCTGAAATGACTGTCGTCCCTCAACAAGAGAGTGCACAGTTTTGGGTATTATGTCCCATCTAAGCATTTGGGCAGTATTAAGAATTAAGACTATTGGGGATAAAAACCAGTCAAATGGCCAAAATTATTATGGTTCGATAGCAATAGTCTCTGCTCAAGGAATAGGCCCATGCATTCCCATTTGCCAATTACATCTAAAACTAGTAAAAGGAAGGGTACGGTCGTTGGGAATGCAGCATGTCAAAGGTCACGAGATAGACATTTGCCGAAGAGTACAACAATAAGCAACACTGACGGCAAACAAATCGTTACCGGTAGTGGTAAGTGTCGTCAGACGAGCTGAATGCGACATACGGCTACCACATTCTGGTGTTCCGTCAGTTGGATTAAGACTGTTACGCCCCAACTATAGCATCAGTCCCAACTATAGTTGGGTCCATCTCAACTAGAGTGCTACAGTTGGGCCGGCCCAACTACAGCAGAGAGGTCCTGTGTGCATGATGTGCCCAGTATGTGCCAAAGTTATATTTTTCATAAATGTCATGTCATTGGTCACAGGGCTAGATGAACAGATGAAGTGCCACATTTTAAATGAATTTGTCAAGTGTGAGACAAATTGACTTAGGTGATGTTGACACATTCCGCACAGACAATGGGCACCAATAGTTGGGCAAGCCCAACTGCAACACTACAGTTGGGACTGTCCCAACTATAGTTGGGACTTATGCTATAGTTGGGACGTAACACGACGACTGGAAATGAAGGAGCTTGAATTACCGGCAACACGTACAAAATAGAATCAAATCTCTTAATGAAGCAGGTATTAGGTGTGTGAAAAATCCAACATAATCCTTGGCAGAATACAGGTCCGTGGGAACTGACCAAACATCCAAGCTGAACGCCAACCAAACTCATCAAAATGTTGTTTTTACAAAGGTTTATTAAAAGTCCCTTCTTTTGCAAAACCGGTCTCATTAAAGCTGCCAGACTAGTGTCCACAAAATAAATCATTCCCTCATAAATTCCCTCGACGGGATGAACCTTACAAATAAATTAAATGGGTTATTACAAGCACATGTCTCATTCAAGGTGTTCCAGGGTTCAAGCAACATGATGAACTATTACATGACCATGATGGACTGTGAATGTTTGGATGAAATTCTCTGCGGGGTGGGATTTTACTTTGATGGCCCAGCCGGACAAGACGGCAAAAGTCTATGTCTGTGCGCATCTCTAGACAAACTTGAGTGTGTCAATGGGGAAATGTCGACGTACAGCGGATTTTGGCCTCCAAAAATGGGAAATTGTGGCTGGTTTATTGCATGTTCTGTCGTGTCTGTGCATGGGGTTCTCACGGTAAAATCTCCCCCGGCCTCCTTGAAGAATAAAAGGTAGGTTCACTTACTGAAATCCTGGTGGTCACCTCCGCCCGATTTTTTGGACTTGGACATGTCGCTGCTCGACTCTCGCGTCACGCGGAAGCGAATCTGGATTGGAAAAAGGTGAATATTTTATCCGTTTGGGGATGGAGGAGGTAAAATATATACATCCGAGGAAGGTGGCACTTTGATTACAATATATATCCACAGAGAGATCGGCTGAACGGATGACGAATCTGGAAAAACCGGCAGGAGATTCGAAGAGCTGGCCTACATATTACAATACAAGCCAGGCGGCGTTATTCGGGCTATGCGGTTGGTCACAGCGGGGCGGCAAGGGACTGCAGACGGGTAGACCCGTGGAAGGAAACACGGTGCGTTTATATCTGCCACACTCAGTGGTCGGATCAGCTCTCTCTCAATATCCACTGAGCGAGATCAATACGTGCTGACAACAAGTGGGGTAGACCGACGGCTCCTCGCAACAAACCCCACGCCGACTGACATCAGAAACAAACTTTCCCCTCCGATAAACTTTCAAAGAAAAGAGCCAAACAAACCTTGTCTATCACGGACATGGTTGATATGCATATGAATAGCACCCCGTCCTCGATTCAGTAAGCACACGGCAGGCACTCGCTCGGTTACCGGGAGAGAACACTTCTTCCATTCACTGGTGTGTGAACGTCTGGAGTGTTAGTGTGCGCTGTGCAACCACTGTAAAATTGCTGTTATGTACACTGTACATGTACTCAGATCCCGCATACCACGACAAGTGCACCGGCTAGATACGTATACACAGTGTCTCCCCTACCATGTGCGTATGAGCCCAGGCCGACAAGATTCATTACGCGGTTAAGCCAGCAGGGTCAACAAAGCTCGTGATTGGACGCGAGTCTCTCACCCAGAGATCATTTTTCCCGACCTGGACTGTTTTTGTCCTGACGTTTCCACCCTCGTTTTCCTTCAGCTAAGGTCACTGGCGTACATGACCTGGAGAGTAGTTAAGAACATTACTATACAGGGTCGACGGGTCTATTTAATTTCCTCAAGAGATACATGCAACTGGAAGGAACGTGTCATCGTTGCAGTGGCGAAGGTGTTTTAAAATTCCGAATTTTTTGCTCCGTAGGGGGCGCTATGACACTTGGCAAGCACGTCAGTTTAATAAGCTTTGTGGCCCGAAATTTAAATGGAAGTTTCTGGCTTTGTAATTAACCAAAGTCAAATGGGTTCCCTGATATATTGCAGTACTGTTTAAGAAACTCAAACAGTTTAATTTGTGTTAATTTCACTGGAACGAAAGTTGACGCAATCTTAAATGAACCTATTCAATGCTCGAGTTTTCCAGTCACGAAAGTACAAATCTATGATAATTATTTATCCGAGGGTGCTCAGGCCCGTTATTTGTTTTTTGTCCGATGGTGCGGACAGGTGGACACATAAAGAAATACATTATTACCGATGAACAAATAATAATACAGGATTGTTATTTTAACCAAGATTTTTTTAATTGCTTTATTATTGTATTTGTGTGTACGTCAGTATGATTTATTCTAACCTTTAAAAGTCTTTTCATGTTGTTACTCTTTATTCAGCTAGATCCTGGAGGGGGCAAATGTGGACCGGGAGAAAAAACAATTCCCATACCATGCGATCTCTAAAGAGGATTAACCGATGAGCCTGAAACAGAACAGTAATACTCGCCTTCGTCCAGAAAGCTTGTAAAGATCCCTTAAGTTAGATTCGCGCCCCCTGAGAGTCGTCGAAGGCAAACTGTTAATATTTCAAACCCCCCCCAAAAAAGCTGGCTCTATATTCGCCTCGTAAAGCTTGTTAGCCCAGATGGTACAGCTTCAAGTCACCTTACCGAAGACCGTACTTCCTACTTGAATATCTAACCTTTCGGTGCTTGTCTGGAAATACATGTGTAATAGCCTACTCTTGAAAGCTTAACGTTACATATGACGTACATGACTTCAAGTTAATGTACATGTACCTTTACACGTTGTACAGAGCAGCATATTTGAGTTTCTTTTGTCGTGTGCATGAGGACTGAGTGAAAAATCTCAGCCCAAAATATGAGAACCTTATCAGGCTGCATGGTCATGACTTCATTCAAAAATAGCTATATCTAACATGGAATGCGTGTAGTACATTTTTTACTAAAAATAACGATCCAAGGTCAGCCTCTCGGACAGGATAATGCACTCACCATCTTGTCAATGCAAGTATAAGCAATCTCCGACACGGCGAATCAGATTGGCGATTACGGAAGATCCGGCAAGGTTACGACTCCCGATATCCCGTAATGGTTCCGTGTACAATGCAGTTTCGTGGAAGCGGATCCCAAGTAAAACCAAAGGTGTGGTAGAACTACGGGCGTGGTCAAATTATACATAGGTGTTGTCAACCCGTCTCCGTCTACCCAGCGAATATCAGGCTAGCATAATCTCTTTTGCACACTGTACCAAACTACCTGCATATTTACTCCATCTGCTGGTATGGAAGTCTCTTCATAGCTCGTCAAATTGTCAGTCGACTGAGCTACATGCGTCCAACCGTGTCCAGGCCTACTAATGGATGTAGCATGAACAGTCTGCTTGGTCTCAATGAATTCATTATCATGCCAATGTAGCGGCTCTGTTGACCCCTGATTGTATGCGATAAGTTGAGGCATGGTTTTGGAGGTGTCCCGTTTTGTTTGCAGGTCAAAGACACGAGTTGAATAGGAAAGTGGCCTCAGACAACTTCCACTTGTTCATAGACTAAGTGCGGGCCAGTCGGCCACCTTGTCGGTTTAGTTGTTTGTTGTTTGGGCCGAAGTAACACTGGGAGTTTAGGTGTCTATTTTTATTTGCAACGATGGGACCCACCACACAACTTTATTTTATATACAGTACAAAAATACCGCATGCGTTGATCCAGGGGGGAAAATGAATTCACTTATGAAAAGTACCCAAAACTGAGAAAGACTGTATTCATTTTGTTAAGAGAGTGTAAGGGGGAAAGCCCTGAAACCGATTTCCGTACACCTTTCACGTTTTTCTAGCTCTCTGCTTTCTTCCAAAATTGAACATAAATTCTACCGACAAGTACTGTTATTATGTTGGTCTGGCCGTCTGCCTTTAGCTTTTTATTTGGCGCCTTGTGTGTACAATGTACTTAGTTTGGTCAAAAGAGGGCGCTACAACTCACAGTGAACTTTGACACGAAGTCGTCAGCTATGCAGCATATGCACGCTGTAGCTATAATATTGCCTGCAGTCTTAATCTTGGAAACTAAGCTTCCGATTCGATGTGATGCAATCAGTTTTGTTTGGATAACTCGCTGTTTTCAGCTCCTGCAGACGCCGTTCATCAAAAAGCTCATGATCATTAGACTTGGTTCAGTAATCAAATCGTCTTAACACTAATGCAGTCGTTGTAAACGCGATGGTGAAGGTTGTTTTTGTTCACCCTGACTTGGGAATCGGCGGAGCAGAGCGACTGGTGGTGGATGCGGCTCTCGCTTTGCAGGCCCGGGGACACTCGGTCAAGTTGTTCACGGCCCATCACGATCCTGGACATTGCTTCAAGGTGGGATGTTGATTCATAAGGGGCACAATCAGGCAAAAACAGAATGAATCTTCACTTTCTATCCACAATGCTGCACATGTTATCCTGCAGTTTTCTCAATTTCTGACACCACTGTTGTTGTATTAATAATGACCCAAAAAACTTAATTTAGGACAGCCAAATGTGAAATTCTGTTTGAAAATATGGAGGAGACGTTCCTCTCTACATGTGTATTTTGGACAATGTCAGATTGGGGCGCTGCATACTGTCTGCTTGTGGTCACAGTAAATTGAGCGTATGCTCACTAAATTGACCAATTTGCAGGAAACCAGTGATGGCACATTGGATGTCACAGCTGTGGGTGACTGGTTACCGAGGAGTTTCTGTGGTCGATGCTATGCCCTGTGTGCCTACATCAGGATGATATACGTCGCTCTCTACCTAGTGCTTTTCAGCGGGCAGCAGTATGATGTTGTCTTCTGCGACCAGATCTCGGCGTGCATTCCTTTCCTGAAGATGAGAAGAAAATCAAAGGCAGGGAAGTTGTGCCATATCCAGATGTGACTTGAAACCCTGTGAACAAACTCAATTACACTGATCTGAAAATTTGAAGTGTTTTTTTGTAAATTGTTCAATATTTTCCCTTCTAAAGTTACTTTTTAGCACGTTATCGCTTTCCGTTTGCTGACATGTCATTGCATGTGTCGCATTCTTCCTGTTGATTAAAAGATGAAAACCCTCATGTCTGTCATTTCCTCCCCTATTTACCACCTCAAATTGGAGAGATATTTTGATTTATTATTTCTTTGTTCTGGCAGGTTTTGTTCTACTGTCACTTCCCAGACCAGCTCTTGACCCAACGCTTGACCTTCCTGAAGCGTCTGTATCGAGCACCCATCGACTGGCTGGAGGAGAGGACAACAGGAATGGCTCACTGTGTCCTGGTCAACAGCAGCTTCACAGGTGTGAAGATTGACCACTTGCTGCCGGGTGGTTTGAAAAATGCAGCGCACATAATCAGGACTTTTTCAAGATTTTCAGTTTTCAAAATATCTTCAAAAATTCATCATTTCAATTAATGGACATTTACACCCACGTGAGCTACTGTCTGTTTCAAAACAAGGCTGGATTATCTCCACTATTGAGAGTGGAAAAATGTTGGAAATGCCCAGCAGCCTGGTCTTTTGTTCTGAGAACAGTCTTTTGTTACAAGGCCAAGTTCCCTTTGTCAGATTTCGGAGACCCTGGTCATGCGTATAAACACACGGTGCCCGAAACCGGGCTCCCTGGCAGGAAGTGGTTAATGATCTTGTGGGATTCGTAATCACAGGCCTAGTAGCCGGGGTTGTGGGAGAAATTGGCATTTCAGTGGAAAGCAAAACAAGACTTGTTTCATTCTTTTACCAATTGAGATTCTCCTCGTGTTCCATGATGTGTAGACAAAATCTGAAGTATTTCACAGGCTGAGTTGAAAGTTTCAATTTGGATTTTAAAGAGAAGTTCCTACATTATATCATTCCTTGAAAACCTAACCTTCTGAAAAGCTAGAAATCTGTTAAATTCTGAGGCATCTGTTACCTGCAACATTAAGGTTTGATCGTGATTTAGCCTAACAACAGGAGAACACCATATTGAAGGCCCAAATTCATATGCAATTTGACCGTAGGTCATTTCATTATGGTTTGTCATGAATATGCATGATCTCCTGGCAAAGGTGAAGCTGTTTTTAGAAAGGAATCAACTTGGCAGAGATTTCCATTGAAACAGTTAATTTCACTGTGATGTGTTTTTTTCTCATCCGACCCCACAGCCAAGACATTTGCCAAGACATTCCCATCGTTGGGTCACATCCAGCCTGATGTCCTCTACCCATCCCTCAATTTCTCTGCCTTTGACAGCCCAGTAGAAGCCCCCAAGGATCTCCTGCCCCCAAACGTTGACATTCTCTTCTTGTCCATCAATCGCTTTGAAAGGAAGAAAAACTTGGGATTGGCCATTGAGGCTCTCGGTAAGTTAGTCAAAGCCCAAACATCCCTCGTTGACTCCAAAAAAAAAATTCCTTCCAGTCAAATAAAATAAAATCAATGTTTTAAAAGGTTCTCTTGAAACAATATTTGATGAAAAATCAATCTTGGACAAGAATGATGAAGACATAAACAACAAATTACAACAAAGAAGCTCAGACAACTTTTTTCCCCCCATTTTTTTTTTTCAGAAAAATTTTTCTATGGATCAGGTTTTCCCATAATTCCTTCCTTAGAAAATACAATAGCTGAACTTCGGTGAAATGTGACGAATGACTCAAGCATATTTGTCCATGAATTCTGCAGTTACTTTGAAAAAGCTGAAAATTTGATACTTTGCCAACTCATGACAGGAAAGTTACTTGAAAAACTACCTCATGAGGATAGAAAGCGTGTGCATCTGGTCATGGCTGGAGGTTATGATGAACGCGTAACAGAGAATCGCGAGCACTACTTGGAGTTACGCCAGCTAGCAGACAGGCTCCACCTGGATGATCTTGTCACCTTCAAGCGGTCCTTCAGTGACACTGAGAAGCTGAGCCTCCTCAGCAGCTGTGCTTGCCTGCTCTACACCCCTAGCAATGAGCACTTTGGCATCGTGCCCATTGAAGCCATGTACGCAAGCCGGCCCGTTGTGGCAGTCAACAGCGGCGGACCGCTGGAGACCATTGTGGACAAACAGACAGGGTTTTTGTGCAAGCCCGACCCAGAGACCTTTGCACTGGCCATGAAGGAGTTCGTCACCAAGAAGGATCTGACCAAGAAGTTTGGCAAGGCTGGCCGTGCTAGGGTTGTCAGTAACTTTTCCTTTAAGGCATTTGGCAATAAGCTGGACAGAATTGTTAGAAAGCTTCGCAAATTATAGCCGTTATGAACAATTGGCTCCACTCCTTAATGTACATCAAGGTATTTGGTGACCTTAGCAGTACCATTTGAAAATGAGCTCTGTCAGGATTGTTGGCATTTCACTTACTGAATTATGAAATCAGCTTTGGATAAACTTTGTCACAATCCTCAATTTAAACTCATTCAGGTTTGCAGCTCTAAATCTGTAAACAATGTGTTACTAGCATCACAGTGCTTTGCAGGAACTACCGAGGAAAGAAAATCAACATGCCAACTGGAATTAGCTTTATTATTTGCAAGAGAGATGTTTGCCTATTGCCTAAGTTAAATGAAAAATTCAAATTGGAACAATTAAAGAGTACTAAAAAAAATGGCTGAGAATGAATTCAATGCCTGTCCTTTCTGAAGTATGCTTAATTCTTCAAGCTTGCCAGTGGCCTGAGGGTGTGGAGTAAGTTCTTGGTCTATTCAGAGCTATACAAGATCTGCACACAGACCTACATCATGGGGCAGCCATCTTGCTTTTCTACCATTCAAAGCAATGTAAACCAAACTGAGGCTGGAAGGAAAACTAGTCTGTTCCCTTTTACTAATATGTGAAGTTGTAGTACTATTGCTACAGGGAACAAGACAGACATGGAAGCATCATGATTAAGGTCTGTTGATGGTAAGAGCTGAGGGGAGATGGGGCTTGTTACATTTCCGTCCTTGGTATTTTCCAAGATTTTCCCAGTTCCTTATTTTCAAAATGGGTCAAATGATGGACAGATTCACACTCAATAAATTGTCAACAATTCAGATCATCATCCACTAGATGAAAGTTAAAGACTTGTTTGTCCAGTTACAGAAAACTTCTACTTGTGTCAACCTTCAAGATAATTTACATATTCACACCCGTGTAATGTGTGCAGCATCAGCCCTCACAGCCAATCAGACTCCTGGGAAGGAGGAATGCTCACAGCTCATAGCCAATGAAATTGTATGATAAGTGACACCATTTCCAGTCCTTACACAAGGTCAGGTCACCAGTCTCAGGATGGCTTCACCAAGCTGCCGTGAGCACCTGACAAATCAAATGTCACATAACTAGGTACAATTTACTTGCATTAAGATGTCTATGGGAAAGGCTCCTGTGCAGGTATCTCAGACATTTTCTTTTGCCGTCCTCGACACTGACTTTCTCAGTCGTCTCTAATCCCTTCTCATGAGTCTGTCTTGTCTGAGTCTAGCTTCTGCTTCTTGGCCCAATGAGGCACGTCCGTGTTGTCCTCCTCCTCCTCGTCCGACTCCTCCTGGAAGATGGCTTTGGGCTGTGTCCTGAAAGAGCAAAGATAAGTAACCGCTGGTAAATTGCTGGGTTTAAGTTCACCGTTAGTCAAGAGAGGGAACGATACAGGCTTTGATGCAACGACAGTATACTAAGGAGATATGACAGGTGAGTCTATGGGAGCTCCATGAAGCCGCTAGCTGAAGGCTTCCATGGATGCATGTGTTGTTTCCAGCCACAGCCATAAAATTCTGCCGCGGCTTTACATGCTGTGGATTTTCAACTGAATGTGCACAAAATAGGCAAGATCTTTGCACGAGAGTGGCATGTAGGTGCAATGTGGTATCACAGGTGCAATGTGGTATCACAGGTGCAATGTGGTATCACAGGTGCAATGTGGTATCACAGGTGCAATGTGGTATCACAGGTGCAATGTGGTATCACAGGTGCAATGTGGTATCACAGGTGCAATGTGGTATCACAGGTGCAAAGGGAAACTAACCAAGCATGGACAAGTTGGATCAAGGACCATAGTTAACCACAGTTTGACTGACTCTGATCGAACACGTGCTAGTTGATGATGGTTTGACTAGTCTAGTCAACTATTTGCGACCAGCCTAATGAGGTTGATTGCGTCGTTGGTTGCCATTAACCGGTTTTAATAGCACAGAGCAAAGAGGACCATTTATAAGAAAAATGCCAGAAAACCAGTATGTCACAAGTGAACAACCATTTTAACTGTAATCTTTTGCTATTTTACCCTTCCTTCGGCCTCCCTTTCTCTCCGTCAGCCTGACAACGGTTGTTCCCAATTCAACTTCACCGCACATGCGCTAGGTATGTCACGAACCAACCACTAGTTAACTAGTGGTTCTTGATCTAACTTGCGCCATGCTGTAGGGAAATCCTTGAATAACAGGTAAAAAAAAATGAATGTGCTGACAACAAACTCACTGGGAATATGCGGGGGCAATCCAATACGGATTGGACGAGGCGTCCTTGGCATGGCGTAGGATGGCTTCTCTGGGGTTGCTGTCATCTTTCTTGTTGACGGCGATGACCTTGGCCACGTAGGATGACAGGCTGGCTCCACCAGAGCCTACCCGGCCCCCACGACCTGAATAGACAAAGTAAGAGAAAGAGACACCAGAAAAGTCAGGTGTCTGCAAGTCGACTGTGAGATATTTTTATGTGGGCAAGACTGTGAAGGGTTCTGATGTAAGGTCCAACAAGAATTCGTTTACATCTCTTGAGAGATGTGTGGGTTGAAACATGTTGAGAGTGAAAAATATGAGAAAGATACTTGAAAATAGCCCTTGTTTGTACTGTTAGCAAGACAAGAAAAGTAAAGAGGGGTAGGGGGTGTGTTTTGAGATACAACAAATATCCACGAAAAACCCTTGGAAACTCAGACGCTTAGCTTGACATTTTTCTTGGTTGTTGTTGCCGATACGGGGAGTGGACGGTTCCTTTGGGGGCTTTGCTCACCTGAGGTGATGGGTAGGTCTGGTCGGTGCGACTTGAGAGGGTCTTGTCGGTCCTTCTGCGACTGTTTGTATGACATCAGCAGCTTGGGTTGGTCTTTACGGTACATGCGAAGCATGTGAGCTGAAAGAAAACGATGAGTAGGGTATCACTGCCAAGCAAGCGAAGCATATGATGCAAACTTCAGCACTTGGAGATTCACATTCATCGTTCAACTTCCACTCTCCATAGCTTTTATAGAAATCCTTGTTTGCAAAAATATGAAATTTATATTAAAATTTCATATTAAACATTTATGTACAAACATCCACTATCAGGGTTAGGTGAAAACTCAAATACTTAGCTTGATATTTTTCCAGGCTGTTTTTGCCGATGGGGGGGGGTTCGTTTGGGGTTATCAGGGTTAGAAGAAGTAATGACAAAGAAACAATTATGATCTTTTAAAGCTTCAATCTTTTTAGTCAAAAAGTAGCACAAAGCAAGCTGGAAGTTTAAAGTTTTGGCGATGATTACAGAAAACAGAATGTAAAACAATGCCGGTATTAAGCTAGATTGTAAACGTACGTGTGATGACGTGGTCATTTCTGACTATGTCTGGTTCCTTGGCTTTCCTCTTCTTCTTCACCACACACAGCTTAGCACCCCTGCGAGTAAGAAAAAACAAATGTGAAAGAACATGGGCAAAAGGGCCAGTAAGGATTCTGGTTGTCAAACACGGACATCATACAAAAAGACTAGATTTGCTGTGTCATTTATCAGCCTACATAGCTCACTGAAGCCACCGGTGGCCATGTTACCATGCCAAACACAAAGGTAATACAAAGGCTTGCTAACCATTGTTAACCAATGATCACGTTTGTATTTGGCCCAGTGTGATGGCCACCGGTGACTTCGATATAAGAGCTAAATATTCTCTTCACAGGTAAGGTCATCAGACTACTGAAAGATCCATGTCTTTGAAAAGCTGAACTTGTGTTAGTCTAGTTTCATGCTTCAAACTCAAATTGCTTGGCCAGTCTCTCTGGTGTAAAAGGCTGAAAAAAGTGTTTTAAAAACTGAGCAGAGCTGGTAAACCATTCAGACTTGGCACTGCTGGGTGGGAATTTTAAAGGACTTTAACGGCAACATAGTAAAGTTTGTCTGATTTTTTATTTTCACAGATGTTTTTGGCAAGGTCTCAGTCTGTTTCCAACCCCTACCTGTGACTCTTGTTTGGGTCATAGAAGATCTTGGCGTCTCCGTTGCCACAACCGACAATGATCTGATTCAGCTTTGGATGCCACAAGCACCTAGCTACGCCCTGCAATGTCAACATTAAAATAATGATTAGCTGTCAGTGCTGTGGTCGGGACCATCGCAAGACCAGACGCAA